GGATTCTCTTTCAGAATATAGTCAAAGTATATAATATGATTAGCTTTAAAATATTGAAAAAATCTATGAACAGAATTTGTATTTTATAGATCTCTTTGAAAACAAAAAATGTAATACAATTCTTTCAATAAAGCTTTTAGATCCTATTATAACTGGTAATGGAATAGACCAAGGAGAAATAATCTCTCCTCTATTTTGGAGGATTTTCTATGATTCATTATTATGCAAAATACAAGAAAACTCAAACTATGAATACATAATAGAAAAAGAATGGATACTAGACTTTCAAAAGTCATATCTCAAAGAAAAACTTTTTCTAAAACAAGTAGTAATAGTATATATGAATAATACTACTTGAATTATTAAATTTAAAGCTAATATGAAATGTATTTTGAAAGATGTTAGACAGTTCTATTAGGCGAATGATTCACAAATAAGCAGTAAAATTTTAACTTTTTAATCTTCAATCAGAACAGTATAGACTTAGGCACAATTCATATAAAGATAGAAAAATTAATAATTAAGAAATAGAATAACAAGATTCTTGGGTATCTGGTTAAAAAAAAGACATCACAATTGGAATACTATTAATCTATTCAAGATAAAGATCATAATAGTAACCCAAGCAATTAGCAATAAAAGCCTATTCAAAAAACATGTCAAATATATTATCAATAAAGTTCTAATCCCTCATATAGAGTACAGAATGCAGCATATACTGTATATTTGAATAAGAAAGTTTGCAACAATCAAATAGTAATATATGGGAAAGCTTTCAAAAACAACGCCCTAATTTGTAGAACAATGTCAAATAGTTGCATATATAATAACAAATCTATGGACTCAAAAGTGTATGGGAAATTCAACTCGAAAGTCATATAATGATACTATTTTATCAATTAAATAATAGTGAAGCTTTAGGAATTGCAATAGTTATTTGACTTAAACAAAATCAACTAAAATACTAGAAGCTCAAAAACATATTTAATAATTCAGTAGAAGTCAAGACAATTGAGAAACATAATCTTGCTGCTGCAACTTTGTGTATGGCAAAAAAACTACAAATTACATATAACAGCTGGAAATGGAAAAAGATCTTTGATACTCAATGAAGCACCATGTCTATCAAAACAATTATAAACAATAAAAAAATATATATGAAAGCTATCTCTTCTTTAAAAAGAAACAAAATAATGTTTCTGAATTAGCTAATCAATATAATCACACTAATAATAGGAGAATAAAGAGCTGTTCAAATTCTTGTTAATACTTGTAAAGGTTCCATTCTAAGCTGGTATATACAAATCAGAGCAAAGGTTACAAAATAATAAGATCTATTGAAACAGTTTTACTGAACCCTAAAATGGATTGAACATGAACTTCAAATAATAAAGTGATCCCTAAAACTGACAAGTAAAAAATAAATTGAGAAGTTTTGATCAAAATAGCAAAAACTACTATGGAAAAATTCAAAATGTAAAACAGATAAATACTTTTTATATTATATCAGCTTATCTACAATTCTATTACAAATAGTACTACTTGTCATTCCCATATATTCAAACAACTAATAATTTCATACAAATCTCAAATCAGATTACTACTGAAACTAAATATATAAGAAAGTATTAAGAAAAAAAATCTACTCATATGTCAGAAAACCTCACAGACTGGTAGTCCACAGTATTAACAAATAAACCAAGTACTGTATATTAATTGAAATCAGAAGAAATTAAGATACAAATAGAGAATTGGAAAGTCAAACTAAGTAAACAGGCCATATAATCAAAAAAGTATATAATAGATATAATAAAGAGTTTTAGATACAACTATAAAAAATATATAAACCAATTTGCTTTCTTTACTAACAAATCTTACAAGTAATGTACAAAAAGCAAGGATAAATTTGAAATGAATCTTGTATAGATTCAAATTGAAAACAATATAATAACCAATCAATTCTTAGCAAGGGCAACACTATAGCCATTAGTTATAAGAGCAGAAATCCTAATCATATTTATTGTAATGCAGCTATCAAGATATGAAAGACAATCCAGTCACAAAAGTTTATTTCTATAAAGAAATAGATTAAAATGCCTAACTGACTATTATAGAATCAAATCAAGAACCTAGTACAAAAGAAAACCTTTGCCTTATACTTAAAAAGGTCAAGATATATCAAGACAATAAGTTCAACAATATAGCAGATAAATTAGCAAAGCAAATCAGAAGAGAAAATTCTTTGATCTGATAACAAACACTTGATTTAGACTAAGTTCTCACAATAGTAGTCTGGAAGAAATATACTATTAATATAAGTGTTAAAGATTTTCTTAAAAATGAAATACAAAGAAAATAGGACTAGTTTGAACTGAATAAAAACATATTTAAAACTGATGGATATACCCTAGTAAAGAAATTGATTGGAAAATTTTCTAGAGGCAATTCAATCTATATAATATTTTTTACATTTCCCTTAGCATTAATAAGGACAAGAGTTTTCTAATAATTTAATCCATTATAAGCTTCCTACCCTCCAAGTGATGCAGAAAAGAAAATCAAACTTATATTAAAACATAATATGCCCAATATGCAAGTCATAAAAGAAAATCCTGAAACATCTTTTTAAATGTTTCAAGACTTAGAGTGAAAGATCAATTATATGGGACAAATCTCAAAGTAAAATCCTTCAATACATCAGAAAAATAAGAGATTTATCTAATAAAAGTCAGGTAGAAGTTAAAAAAATAATAGGAAAATGGATCTAGAATATCAGATTATAGGATAAAAGCTTATATAATACAGTCTGTGACTTTATATATAGAGATAAGATTAAGATCCTGGAAGAATATCTCAAAGTCCTCAAGATCCCAATGACAATAATATAAGAGACTATTGATAAATTTTGTAAAAAAATAAAAAAAATCTTCAATAAAAAGTCTGAAACAAGTACTGCAGCATTGCTATCAAATAAAAACAAAATTAAAAAATTATTAGCAAACTCAAAAGACTTAGAGTACTAGTTGATACAACTAGAAGAATGGATCAAGTCTTTAAGAAAGCCAACCACTTATCTATTCTTCTTTTTAAAAATATAACAGAAGAAGACTTAGAATAAATAAAGTTTCAAGGTAATATAGTAAATATAATATAATAAATAGTTGGATATTCAAAAGTTTTAAATGATTTGATTTTTAATCATAATTAGAACTTTGAAAGATCTATAATGATGAGCTATAGGCAATGATTTAAGAAGTTAGAGAATAATCCAAGCCATAAAAGAAGTGAAATATTATACTTTAAGTTGCATCTGGAGAAGATTAAACTTTATAGATAAATGAGTCAATATGTGAAAGTCATAGAATATATAAATACCAAATTATATTTACAATAAAATAAACAAGCTATATTGGCTTAATTACAGATTAAAAAAAAAACTATTTTAAAAAAGAAGTATAAAACAAACAATATAAATAAGTAATAGAATAGAAAAGGCTTAAAAAATTCCCTAAATGAATAAGATAAAACAACTTATAAAGTATTATATAGCAAAAAGAACAAGAAGCTTAAGAAATTAAATAAAAATAACAGAAAAAGAATATCCAGGTAAAGGCTTAATTAAAATAATAATAACAAGAATAAAAATAATATAAAATAGTTGGATTTTATACTCAATCAGAATTTAACCAATGATTTATAAAATTTTTAATTAAATAATTATTTATTAAATTATAATAAAAAACAAAAGGGCAAATATTTCGTTCTGAATTGTATGTATAATAATTAATTAATATACAGTAAATACTTTTTCCATAATATATAATTTTTAATCTTGTAAAAAAAAGTACGATCATGCTGTGCAAAAGTCACATGATCAGATACGTGCGTGACGCGTGAATCGCATGCGTTCATGATTCACTGATAAAATTATATAAGAAGCAAAGGATAAAGTAAAATTTAATAAGAAAATTTTTTAAATTTCGTGTATACATACATATATTGTGAAATAAAATCTTAATTTGTTTGGCGAGGATCAAGGATTTTTTTCTTTCGAAAATAATCCTTCGCTACCCGCCAAACTTCATAAACATCTTAGAGTATCATGAAGTAATTTTATTTTGTGAGAGTTCGAAGTATGGTAATATAAATACAAATTGATTGTTGAAAAAAAAGTAAAGTATGATGGCCATAGTTGAGGGAAAATAGGTATGACACGATAAATATACGCGAAAAAAGAAAGCCATCGATAAAACGTTATGAAAGGAAAGAACCCATCATACCAAATGGAAAAAAAAAGAAAGGGAGAAAGAGAAATGATCATAAGGGAGGGGGATACATATTAAAAAAAAAAAAAATAATAAATAAAGAGAGAAGTTAATTTGTACTTTTTTTTTTTTTTTTTTTTTTTTTTACAAAAAAAAAAAAAAACTAGAAAAAAGCATGGATATAGGGTTTTTTGTTGTTCGAAGCTTGAAATAACATCATTTGAAAGGAAACATCTATTTCTTGTTTGACGCGAGGAAGGATCAAGAAGAAATAATAATCATTATGATAAACGTGTCTTGTTTTTTTTTTCTTTAAAAAAGAAAGATAAAGAGAGAAAGATTTCGTCTTATGTTTGCTCCATAGTGTTTTACATCATATCATGAAAGGGAAAACAATAGACGAAGATTGAGAAATAACGCTTGTATGCATGTATATAACAATTATTGAACGAAAAGGAGAAATAAATGAATGAAAACGAATTTTTCCACACATAAAAAAAAAAAAATATTACTTGGGGTATACACCTCCACCCATAGAAATGTATACCTTGACGTTTTTATGAAAAGAAGTTCTACGATAAAAATTACGAATTTTTTGCAATGTCAATGCTGACACCGATAATACTTGGAGAGTTTAAGGATCATTCCGTTCTTGCGATCCTTTGATTCAAACGAATTACAAAAAAAAATAAAAAGAAGGAGGCTGAGATCGACAGGCTCGATGGTGGTCGGGCGTTATTTTGGTAAAGATGGTTCGGAGTTATGCGTTAGAACAGAGGCTGGAGTTATTGGTTGAACGGTGCGAGGGTCATCGGGACTACTATTTCGTGACCAATATTCTGTCTGTGATTGTTGATAACTCAATTCAGAAATCTTCGAGTCATCATTTGACGATGTAAATCTGGTCGCTTCTAACTTTACTGGTCTCATTGGGTATGATTCGACTTCGTCTGTTTTTGAAGATGTGTAATCGCCATTATACGGTTGGACAGGGATGTCGCCATGAGAAACGTTAGAATGAGGAAGGATTTGGACGGGCTCTTTATTACTAAAAGAAGAATAACAATAATAAACAAAGTTCAGACATTATAAATAAAAAAAGAAAAGGTCAAGAATTCACGTTAAAAAAAAAAAAAGACACCTACTTTGTTTCTACTGCCAGAATCGTTACGATGACGACATTCATTGTAGGAACTATTTATAGTAAGGACAAATGTTTATGAACCGTGCATCATTAGGCAACCGTCGGTGACAGTCAGTCACTCTCTTTTGAAGTACAACGCTGACTCACCGATCAAGATCCACGATGCAGCCAATGCATGAGACAGAAACGAGGAATAGGTCAACACAAAATCTCTGAATAGGCCAAATATGAGCGAGGCAATGGCGAAGAATACAAGGACGCCAACAATGACACCAAGTATCCATCGTAACTGAAGATAAAATCTGGTGTTAAACATTTCGGGACAAGCGTACCAGTTTCTCGTTTCATAACCAATAACCTAGGGGCTAACCTTTTTCAATCCTTGCTCCAAGCTTCTTACTTTCATTGGCTTTGCACGACCCGCTTCTTTTGTATCCTACGTGACAAAATTATGATTTTTAACAAATACAATAATAACGTGCGTTAATATATTCCATTGATGTACCTTAATGTGCTTCAAAATTATATCGGTCAATTTTCCCCCGAAATAGACTAGCGCGGTAATGATGACCCAGCAGAAGGAGCTCCAAACGATGTAGTGAACTTTGATCCAAAAATTGGCCTTCTCTTCATCGTTGTTGTCCATGTAAATACCCGAGATGGCTGCAAACGCATTTAAAGATAAAATAGGCCCTATCAACACGAAAAATCCAAAAGCATCAACGACTATGGGGCGTGGGACCCAGACTCCCTTTGAATCCAGCGAAGACAGCTGATATGGTCGAGTGTACGAATTAAGATGGCGAGGCGAGATGTGAGTTCTTGGGATTGTATATATTAATCCAATCAGATACAAGGCCAGGGACGCCAATGAAATCGTAAAGGTCACATCGTGGAATACTAATTCACAAGTACATGCGCATTCAAAAATTAAAGATATCAAACGATCAACAATCAAATATGAAAAGGAAATTGATATAAATTCTTACGTTCTTTCAATAAACTGTTTGGTATATAGCCACTCAATAAGCAGACCGAGTATAAAAGTCTTGCTGCATGAATATAGAAAAAGGGGGGTAAAGCTTTCGATCATGAGAAGAACATCGAATTATAAGAATAATTCTTACCACAAACATGAAACATGTTTAGTAACAGGAAACACTCTAATGGACGTGGACGTAAAATTCCCATCTCTTTTAACGGATCTTTTGCAATTATTCTCTGACCTCGCACGGCTGTCCGCCAGATTAATAGCCCGGTGATCATTAGAAATACCACGAAGCACACCACCGTGTTTATGAGATATAAATCGCGTAGGAATGCCTCTTCACTAGGACAACCTAGATCCAGAAAAATTTGGTTTAATATAATTACGCATGTCGATTCTATCCAGTCATCGCTAGCTAAGGATAATCTTTTTTTTTTCTCTCAAAGAAAAGGGAGGTACATATGCAGTATATATATCTTTATTGAAAGTTAATAAAGTATGGCACCAATAAAACCGAGCACCTATTTCCTGGTTCAAATTTATTGTGCCATGTGATCTCTACTTCGTATGAGGAGAAGGAATGGCAATGGCGGTCTTTTTTCAATACGAACGGAAACAGTGGTTCAAACTGTGATTCGCACATTACAATGTAATTTGTCCCCACTACAGGAGAAGGTCATGAAAAACTCACCGTTTATCTCAACCCTCCAGTCGCAGAAACATTCGAGATGCCCGGGCTTTGTGCCAGGGACACACAGGATTTCTGGACCTACTTCACCAACTTGAGATGGAAGCGATTGATTCATTTCAGGATTTCTCGTTTGGAGATAATGGGAATCGCAAATTTGTGACTTTCTGGCGAAAAATAATGTATCGGGGGTAATATTTAGAGATGGTATCGTTATATGATGATTATTTAGATTTTAAAGAATGTATAATCCTGGGACTCGTCTTCCAAGTTTCTGCGAAACCGTCAGCATGACAATATTTGCGAACACCAAAAACAAGATAGAAACTTCAATGTCTTTTATAGCATCATGGAAAAAATTAGCATCCAATCACACTCGATCACCGGGGCACGCGAATATATAAAAAAAACACTCTATCAAATATATATATATATTATTGTCGTTTGGTTAAGTTATTTTACAGTATTCCTAAGGTTGACGCCCTAATTAATTTATTTAGATGTTCGTATTACTTTTCTTCTATAAATGTATATACAATTTAAAATTCGTGTCGATCCTTCCCTTTTTCTTCGCTTCATTTTTTTTCTCAACAATGTGAATGCTGTTTTCAGTCAACTTTAATGCGTGCAACAATTATAGAAACTTTCTGTATATATAGCGTGTAGAATGCTAATATTTAACTGGCAACTGGCCCTCGTATATTTCTCCAACCATTTTATAATCTACTTAAAAACAAATATATAATTTTTCCGAATTATGTGCGAAGATAACGGATCCCATATGATAACTTTTTTTAAACTATACGTCTTGTTTGTGTGCTATTGATATTCTCGTGATGGGAATTTATTTATTTCGAAAAAAAAAAAGATCGATCATGTAGTGTATAATGGTGACCTTTTTTGTCATTATAATCAAAATATGTGTACAGTATATACTGTATATAATGGAACATACCAAGAAAACATCCCCGAGCGATTATCGAATTATTGGTTAATATGAATGGCACCGCAGCAAATTGACACAAACAGTCTCCATCGCGAACGCAAGCAAATATAGGAATTAACTCTCTACCAATCATAAGGCCTCAAAATCTTGGATGAGGAATACCACAAATCAGATTGGGCGACGTTTCGATGCACGGAAAATTACAAATTATGAGCATTTGGTGCGTTTTATGACAGCTCGGCGTGCATGCTACAGAGATGTGTGGTAACTAAACAAACATGCAATTATTCCAAATTGATCTCTCCCCTAGATAACAGATTGATTATCTTTGAATGATACAATGTTTGTTAAGCTGATAAGAAATGTCAAATTCGAGGACTGTTAAAGACCATGTGCGCACTTGTGTAAATTACGAATATTTCTTCGAGAAGGAAGAATGAATAAGAGAATCTTAATCATACGTACGTACAAGATCGAAAAAATAAATTCAACAGATATGTAATACAATCAGGAATGCTTATTTTCGAATTAAGTGTGTGAAGTTGATCTATTGTCAACTGCCGAGTCATTTTTTAAGATCATGCATTGTTTTTAAAGTTGTACACTCTCCACTTTGGGGATATTCTTCTTATTGGTGGTGTTTATAAACAAATATAAGGATACACATGACGATTTTAACGAAACGATATCTGTGATGTCAGCGATTATCGTCGATTCCTCCTGCCGAGTGACGTGTTTGTTCGGACAAAGAGCAGAAATACAGTATATACTGTGTATATGTATACATACAGTGGATATACTGTAGATATTCAATAGATACAGTACATAAAGTATATAAATACGTTATACTGTATGTCCTACAGTATAATAAGGGCATTTATTGGTTTGTTAAATGCAGTTAAGAGCAGGTATCCTATCATTGAAATAACATACAGTAAGTATATAGTACGTACAGTATACAGTATATCAAACCATTTGATTTATGGTTTTCTACTTTAATAACACAGTAGTTCTTTATTATTCAAAAGCTATTGTATAGAAATTATAAAAATTAATGAAAATCATATAAACTTGTAATTGGCTCTTTTATTACTACTATATTTTTTTTTTGTTATTAATATACAGTATACTATAGCAAAACATTAATCTTATCCAATTAACTTATTATTAATTAAAAATCTCTAAGTTTAATTTGAAAAATAATATTTTAATTTGTTGAATTAAATCTATTATAATTTAAAATATTATAGCTAACAAGTTATTATTACTATATATTTTATCAAGTTATTGAATAATAAAAAACTACAAAAATAATGAATTAAAAAAAAATAAGTATTTTAATATATATATATTTTAAAAAAATATCAACCAATTCTATATATAGTTTCTTACTTTAATAAAAAATCATATTTAGTAACAATCAAAATAAATATTATATTTATATTGTTTAAAAATTTATAGATTACTAAAGAGATTGTAGTATAAAGAACCAATTATTTTATATATTTCAATTTTAATCTAATTTAATCAAAATAAGAAATGATATTTCATTATTTAATATAAATATCTTTTTTTTATCAATATTAAAAATTAATATTTAACATAATCTAGAATATAGGACTTGTATTTACTAACTAGTCTATTATTATTTACTAATGAGACTTGATATATCAAGATTAATTCAAAATACTTTAACATTATGAATATTAAAAATTTCTTATATTAGCTATATAACAGATTAGCAAAAAAATTTTTTAATAAAATAAAAAAGAAAAAAAAACCAAAAACTTAAAATAATAATAATAATAACAAAAAAGGTTTAAATATTTTATAAAAATAAAATAAAAAAAGAATAAATTTAAACATTTTACAAAAAATAAAAAAATAAAAAAAAATAAAAGAATTTTTGATAGTAATTACAATCTAACTTTGTTTTTATAATTTTTTTTACATAGTTTTAATACTTGTAAAAGTTAATAAGAGATAGAAAAATATAATCCACATATTTTTATATATTATATATATCTTTATTTATATTTCTATTAATAAAAAATTAATTTTTGATTAATAAGTTATTCAAAATTTAATATAACAAAAATTTTTAAAATCAAATTAAATTAAATAAAAATTTTTATTATATATTAAAAAAAACCACTATCTATATTAAGACATTAGTTTTTTAAGTTAATGTAATAATAAACAACTTTGGTACTTTTTTTATAACTTAGAATTTTCATAAAAAAAAAGAAAAAAAGTATTTATTTATTTAATTTTTTCTACTCAATTTAACTTTTTTATTATAAATAATTAAGTTTGGGATTTAAAAAAAAAATAAATAAAAAAGAATAAAAAAGAATATTTATTAACTAAGATAAGTATTATTAAAAAAAATAATAAAATTTTATTATTTATAAAATATAAAGTTTTAAAGAAATATTTCTTTAAAAATATTGATTAAAAAATAGTAATAAGTTATTTTTTTAAAGCATCTAAAAATATATATACATATTATAAAATAAAAATAAAAAAATATAATTTAATTTTCTTTAAAAATTTATTTCTTAAAAAAATTTTTAATAAGTCTTTAAAGTAAAAGATAGAAATAAAAGTTAAATGTCTATTATTAGAAACCATTTAAATTCTTAATTTATAATATATATATATATATTTATTTAAACTGCAACTGGTATTAGATGCAAGCTTTATTAAGAGTTAACTTAATTTAATAAATAATTAAATTCTATAGCAGTTATATCAATCATCTCATACAAACCATGTATTTTTATATCTGTACAGATTAATGATAACCTATCATTATTTATTATAGATAAACCTACTACTAATGATGGGTCCCTAAAGTATTTAGCATATAAAATTTCACAGATTACTTATGTCTTTTTTTGAGGGACAAAATTCATAGCTCTTCACTTTAATAGGGACAAAAGTCAGGAAATGCCATAAATCAATGATTTAGATAATGGAAAACAATTGTGAATAGTTTTTTTATAATTATTAATTTAAAAATTTTAATATTTCCCAGTGAGGGACATTTGACTTATGTCCCTGTCTCCCCCTTTAGGAACCCATCTTTACCTACTACCACTCTGTGAGTGAAACAAATCCAGCTAAGGGTCTGATGGTCAAATATATAGTTATTAATAGTGAAATAGACTAATTTAGTAGTGAGATTTTATAAATTTTTGCATTATATTCATTAAACTAGGCTATATTGTATATACCCGATAAAATTTGATTCACTCTCCAATACTTTCAGAAATTATTTACTCAGATCTTGGAAAAGGACACTTTCCTTCTTTATTATCACCTATAGTATCGGATCAATCCCATATGACTGATTTTTATTTAACTGGAGTATCAGATTGAAATATCCTGAGCTAGGAGAGTATGGATTCTGGAGGCTACCAGGACAAGGGTCTTTTGAGGTGTTTTTATGGTAGGCTAGATCAGAAGCCTTTCTTCATATAATCTTTCTGATAATACAACTGTAGATCTCAGCTCTGATCAATAAAAGATCAGAAGTCTTATCTTCATATAACCTAACCTGATTAGAACTTGTTCAGGATAATTGGATATGACTTTCACAGGATAACTGATAAACCTGATCAGATGGGCAATTTTTGATT